AAAAAAAAGATTTGATGTCGCAATTATATGACTACAACTCAGCACCCTTTGATAATGATGATTCTGAATTCTTTAAAGATGGTAAGGATATATTTTTTGATTTTTGATAAACAATTCTTGCCACACGGAGATAACTTCTGCTTTATAGGATTACCTTCTCAAAAAGAAATAGAATCTATGTATAACCACATTTTTGGCGACTTTGACGATGAAGATGGGCTGGACAAAGTTTTTACTAGATTGAATTCGTTGCGAGGTAGCCCGTGATATTTTTATCATCAGACTACATTTCTGTCTCTAATTTTTCATTGTCACCTTTTTTTATTTTATTTTTTTTTATGAAAAGAACGCGGCAAGACTCTATCGGATAAGGAGCGGAGAAAATTGGCCGCAAGTGTAGCATGTTCTTTTGGGTTGCATGTGGGAGAAGAGTGAAAGGCCTTTAAGTAGTATGCCATTAATATAATATGCTAAATTTAATTGTAACTTAAATATATAGATTTAATGTAATTTTGTTTTTTAAATAATGTTTTTGTACTGTACTAGACAACAAAAATATTCAATTTTTATATATATAGGAAATTATTATTTCACTATGGTTACACGAGGGTTTTTATTTTTGGTTTAATATTATAGTGATTTTAACTAATAATATAAAAGAAAATTACTTTATATTATTAGTGATTTTTATCATCACATAGTTTTAAAATTAGGTGTAGTTTTGAAACCAAAAGAAAGGTTGGATATAATAGTTTAAATTTTATATACTGTATATTATATAAGGTTTTGAAGGGTTCAAATATTTTTATTTAGTATATCTGATTCTTGTTTTATAGATCTGTTTTTGAGATATAATATACTACTTAATTATTAGTATTAAAAATTAATTTTTTTACAGAATTTTTTATTTTTTAAAAATATAATTTTTTTTTCATATATTGGTAGCCTTGTCAGTATCTTTATTAGATCAAAGAAAATATACAAGTATATTCTAAACTATTTAAGTTAAAGATCCAATATCACTCAGCTTTCTCTGTAGACACCCAAGTGCAGTTTGCCTTACTGGTTAAGGCTATTGCCTGTATCAGGGTTGTACCAAGCTAGTTAGCAAAATTATAACAAAATGGTTTTATTTTTAAAGAATTTCTAACTACATTTAATTGTCAATTTTCCTTTCTAAACTATTCTTCTTTTTAAAACAATAATCTAAATCTAGTTCTATATTAATACACAATTTTATTTTATTTTTTACTAAAGAATTATTGTCAAAATTCTTTGAATTGTATTTGGGGGG